GAGAGGGGGCTTATTAGAGAGAGGAGGCTTATTGGAGAGGTGGCTTATTAGAGAGGGGGCTTATTAGAGAGGGGGCTAATTAGAGGGAGGGTGCTTATTAGAAAGGGAGGCTCATTAGAGAGGGAGGCCTATTAGAGGGAGGGGGCTTATCAGAGAGGGAGGCTTATTAGAGGAGGCTTATTAGAGAGGGAGGCTAATTAGAGAGGGAGGCTTATTAGAGGGAGGGGCTTATTAGAGAAGGAGGCTTATTAGAGAGGGAGCTCATTAGAGAGGGAGCTTATTAGAGAGGGGGGCTTATTAGAGAGGGGGATTATTAGAGAGGGGGTTATCTTAGAGAGTGGGCTTATTAGAGATGGAGGCTTATTAGAGGGAGGGTGCTTATTAGAGAGGGAGGCTCATTAGAGAGGGAGGCTTATTAGAGGGAGGGGGCTTATCAGAGAGGAAGGCTTATTAGAGAAGGAGGCTAATTAGAGGAGGCTTATTAGAGAGGGAGGCTAATTAGAGAGGGAGGGGCTTATTAGAGGGAGGGGCTTATTAGAGAAGGAGGCTTATTAGAGAGGGGGGCTTATTAGAGAGGTTCTTTTTTATTGTTACCTCTAACTTTTCAGTGATATGTTGATTGACATTTTCTGGTTTGGATGAAGATGGCTTTGTGCAGATCCATGTATCACCCTAAAATAAAAGAAATGTTATGGAAAATATTCACCATGTACATAATGGTCTTGTAACAGTTGTATATCTTAAACTAGGGTAGATGCAAGTGAGCACAGGTGTCTTGAATTGGCAATACAGCATGTTTTATTAACCTGCATTAATGTTCATGCAGTGATTATTTGAATTCTGCAATAAAACCTAAAATATCCAAATTTACAATATGATGCTTTGCAAAAATGCAAAAAAAAAGTCAAAACAATGAATGAACAGCAAAATTTTCAAAAGAATGAAAGGACAATGGAACATTCCAATCACTGGATCTTGACTGGATTACATGAAGAACAAAGGGCTTTTCAAAACAATGAAAGGACAATGGAACATTCCAATCATTGATTAGTGACACAAAGGATTTTTTTCTTCATTTCTACCTTCTTATGAGGTGAAATATGAGGCGAGATCTCGGTAGGTTTCATTCCACCATCATCGTCACTACTGTCTGTCCCCCCTTCTTCTGTGTCATCATCACTATTTATATAATCACTGTCACCATCTGTTTCCACCTTCCGACGTTTGCAACCAGAACCACCTTTTGAAGTTGTCGGCATTTGACAATCAGACAATCCGTTTGAATCAGTATTATCTTTAATATCTGTACATGGTAACTCGTCAAGAGCATCTCTGCTTCGTTTTCCTTGTGTTTTACATGACATACCCTCTGTACTAGTGTGAATTGTCTTACTTCGACCAGCATCATTTTCTCTCAAACTAAATGATGTAAAATCGACTAGCCTACCATCTTTCAAGGAAGCACTCAACCAGTCAGCCCGAACTACTTTAATTTTCTCGCTTATTTCTTTCACTTTCAAAATGCCAGCCAACTTGGCAAGCTTTATAGAGTTCCCCACTAAAACATGCGTAGTATCGTCGCTTAGTTTTGTTACTTCAACCCCGCCATGTCTAGCCAGCTGTTTCCCCAAAATGCTAGCCCTAGTTTTGCCCAGACCTTGTTCAATTATTATTGCTTTTATTCCTTTTAAATATTGTGCAGTTGTTTCAGATGCTTCTGCTTTTTCTGGACTTGGTAATGGTTGCTTTCTTCCTACTTTTTGCGATGATTTTCTTGAAACATTTTTCGCCATTTTGTCAATTTAAGTTTATTTACAACAATTCTAGAAACTTTATGTTAGGTTTCGTGTAAGTGCCTACTGACCTATATAGCAATACTTGAATTGATATACTACCGTCGTTTGCGCCTAACGATGAACAGCTGCAGATAAAAATTGTCTGTGCTCACGTGATCATCAATGTTTAAAGCTTTAAACATTGATGCTAAAAAAAAGCTTTAAGCCAGAGCGTTGGTTTATCCTAGCGTTGGAAACACAAAGAATTAATTATGCAATTTAATTAGAATTTTTTACAGTATCAATATTGCATTATTTTTTCTTCAACTAATCGTGCAGACGTGCAAGCAAAGTTTAATTCTCTTGATTACAGCATACATAATTACAACATCACATTCATTATTTGCTACTAATTTACTGTGTTAACAGAGTGTATGTGAAATGGCAACTAGTTAAATTATATATACACTGCCATCAACCTGTAAGATTGTACATAAGTCTGGTTTTCCATTTGGTAACGGCTGTTGTGACTTGTGATAGTCGTCGTTGTGAAATAGTCTGGATCTGATTATAGAGATATATCAACAGTTTATTACAACAGCCTGAACTAAATGAAAACCAAGCTTTCAAGTTAATGGCATAAACTTAATATTCTGTTTGCACAAAAATTCATTCCACATACACTTAAGCCCCAATTACAATACCGTATTCACTTTCTGTGACACCAATATATACTGTTTAGGAATAATGTCTGCCTACAAAATTTCCCCCTTTAGCAGCTTTTGTTTTATTTTGTCATGTTATCGCAATTCCAAGTGTCGCGATTTTCCTGAAACTGTTCTATTCAATGTTGTGACAAGTAAATGAAATCCAGTATTGTGTAATTAAGGCCTTAAACCAAAGCTATATTTTTGCACCATAAAACATCATTACAAGCTATTATTGAAACCTAGTATCTTACATTAAACTTGTGAATTCAATAAACACTCGATAATACATCTGACCAACATTCAACACACTAATAATATTGTATTAAGTATTTTCTATATAAAACCAGCATGTCTCGACCCTTGCAGCAGTAAAAAATTAAAGATGGCATCACGCATCCACTTGGCCGCAACAAGATGATCATTATACATCAAGCCTAAAAACAAAACAAAATGGTTAGATGTAATCATAAATTTAATAATTTCATCATTTTAACCCTGGCATTGCACCACAATGCACTCTTCGTTGTTATTTTACTATGACTAATGCCAGACCATTTCACTCGTTAAGGTAAAGTATTGGACCATAATCAGGTCTTGAGTTTTTCACTCATTGGTGAGTGGATTTTCCAACAGGCTATTACCTAGACTACATTTTGATCTAGACAAAAATTTCATCACAGCTTGAAAGAGCATCACCAAATTAGTAATATTCCAAAGTTTCGTTGCGAAATGTTGTAAAATGCAGATAATATAGCCTTGCGAAGTTTGCCGTTTTTCAGTCATTTTGTATTGCGCACAGGAAATTGACAGCCCAATCGGATGTTGGGGCATCAATTACCTGTTTGTAATACAAAATGACTGAAAATTGCAAATTTCGCAAGGCTATATTGTCCGCATTTTACAACATTTCGCAAAGAAACTTTGGAATATTACTAATTTTGTGATGCTCTTTCAAGCTGTGATGAAATTTTTGTCTAGACTTGTTTAGATCAAAATTTAGTCTATAATGCAAATGGTCATTGATAGGCGATAATGTCCTTATCTGAGAAAACACTAATGTCTAACCATTTACAGATTTCAATGTGAAGCTAGCTCTTTCTCCTTAATTATTTTACGACTTTGAGTGGAGGTCCAACCAAGGATTGAACCTTGGTCTCCCAGCTTGAAAGGCAAGCATGCATGGTGACCGTGACACAACAAGTGCTGATCATGATACTACAGGATAAAATAATAATAATATAGCAATACCTCAGAATATATTTTTGAATGAGAATGATTCCTATAGAAATGGGTTGCTTGTAGTGGTTGCCTGGGATGATCCAGCTGGGATCAACGGAGCTGGTAGCAGGGGGTCGCCAAACGGACTTGGGTTTGTTTGTGGAGCAAGAATGGGTTGATTTGTTCGAAGTTGATTGAGCGAGGGAGCAATGGGCTTCTCTATAGCAAATGGATTGCCTGGTTTTGTTGGTTGTGGGGTAGGGGTGAAGAATGGGTTAGATTCTGTACTGACGCTGACCAGCGAGTCCAAGTTAACCAACGTCGAATGATCAGCAAGCAAATCTTTTTGTTGAGTATCGGTGGGAAGATTATTACCAACGCTCATCATGTCAAATGGTTGTACATTACCGGGACCCCCATTCGTTGTAGGTTGGTTAATCTCTGCCCAAGGATCTGCCGAGGGAGTACTAAACAAGTCGTTTGAGGTAGATGAACTTGCAAGTTCACTAAATGGGTCTGCATCCCAGGGGTTTCCAGATCCAACAGTGTTGAACGGGGGTGGTTGTGAGGGTGCACCCCAAGGGTCTGGCTGTGGTTGGGCCAATGTAGTGGGAGCGGGTGATGAATAACCCCAAGGATCCTGTGTAGGAGCAGTGGGTTCTGGAGGAATGACAATTCCTCGGCTGCTAGGGGGACTAGGTGGGGGTATATGGCGAGTTGGAGGCGGGCCAGTTGGAATTTCACCCCATGGATCAACCTGAGGATCACTTGGTCCCCACTGGACAGGTTTTGGTTGTCCCCAGGGGTCGCTCGGTTGTTGGGGAGGTGGGGCAATAGCACCCACACCCCAAGGGTCAGGTACTTGCACAGCTGAGCCACCAGAACCAGCCATATTTAACAGCGAAGTATCCCCAGGCTTCTTCACGCTCTGTCGGCTTTCAGTGAGAGCAATTTGATAGCGTTGTTCGTCTTTCTCCATCTTATGCTTTGTGTCGTCCGCTTCTTGTTTGCTCAACGCTAATGCTAGTTGTAATTGTAACTCCTCTTCGTTGGTATTTGATGGCCGACTCTTTTCAATTTCTGACCCATAAGTCCTGCGTTCAGGCTCCCATGATCGACTAACAGGCGACGCTTCACTCGCTCTTTCAACACGGACGTCACTGGCACTGCCTGATTCTCGGAGTGTGGCCCCTGGTTTTAGCTTATTCGATCCAACCCCAATGTTAGACCCCTGTGAAAGTCTCTCCTTGGCTTTGATGGCACGAGTGCGTTCATTTTTAAGCCGTTCCTCGTCTTTTAACAAAGCTACTAGTTGCTTAGATTTTTCACGGACATTCATTCCTTGATCTTTGCCATCTCGGTCAATAAATTGGAAGTCTTTCAAAGTCTGAATTGCAAATATATTTTCGCGACATTGTTGTGCGACGCGTTCTGAACCCGTCTTTAAAATATAGTCCAATAAAACCAAACTCTTATAAACATGACGCCAGTTTTTCCCGTGGTCGTTTAAACGTTTCCATATCATTAACATTATCTCAGAAAAAGCGACAACATTGTACGTTTGGTCAGCTATATCGGCCATTAAAGAGCTAGACGGGCCCCAAGGATCGTTTGAGGTTGCTTCGCGTACCTTGACTTCGACATTCGAGTAATTTTTTACGACGTTTTTTACTTGGCGAGTGATCGGCATTTTTTGTGATTTGCTTGGTGAGAACACGAACCAATATCTGCCGTTATTATTTGAAGTAAATCCCTGAGATTTTTGACAAATTACAGCGGAAAACTTTGATTCAGCTATCTTGTTTTGAGAAGAAATATGGCGACGCCAAATATTACCAACCCCTGCAGGGACGCGTTCTACGCATGCGCACCACGCATGCGCACCATACAATATTTACATTACGTGAGGATATTGATGAATGCAACATGGGCGTGGCATTTATTTCCCCATTCCCCAAATGTGACATACGTAAAACCACGGCGAACAAGTTGCGACTCGATGGCGCGATTGTTACGCAACATATATTTGCAACATTTCGGTTGATTCAAATCAATTTTGTAGAAATGAAATAACAATAAAACGGCTGCTATGTTGGTACAAAATTCAATAAAAGAGGACTGTTTTGTTGAAATGTCTTTGGAGGCAAATGAGTATAAAGATGTAGATTAATTAATTTCCTTCCTCCTTAATATTAAATTAAAGTGCCAACTGGCAACATTTTCTGAAGTAATCTTATTGAAGTGTAAAATTTATGGATCTGTGAAGTAGATCACGTCCTACATACGTAAATCCGGTAGTTATAAAACTAAAAGGCAGGAAATAAAGTCTCAAGTGGTTCAAATTAACGCCTTCAAAATATTGACATTCCAGCCTGTGTTTAGAGATCAGTAAATATTCCTCTATACACACTCCAGACATTTAGCACGTTTAGAGATCAGTGGAAATCAACGCTCCAGGCACTCACCAAGTTTAGAGATCAGTAAAGTGATATTAGCAGTTTAGCACACTCCAGCATTATCAAGTTTCAAGATCAGTGGAAATTAGAGCCCGCAATACACCTACATTGCGCTTATACTTCAAGTTATCTCAAATGTCTTGTAATTTTTGAAGCGGTAAATTTTGAAGTGTAAATAAATTTTGTAAACAAATGGCCAAATTCTACTCTGAAAAAGAGTGGTTAAGCCATTCTCAAGAATCTAGAAACCCTTGGTCAACGTCCTGTACATATATCGATGTTGGATCTTTGGGAAAAGTGATTTACTTGGCGGAACGAACTGGACAGTTACCAAAGGTTTTGTGTTGTTTATGAGCGTGTTATTGGCTTATTGCCTAAAATGGGCTATTACATTTAATACCCGTACCCCCCCCCCTGTCGAGGACATCATTTTCCAAGGGGGAAATTAGTAATTTTTTCCAGAGGGGTAATTGGGGAAAATGGAAGAAAAATGCTCTTTCCAGAGGGGTTAAAAAGCAAAAATGCACTTCCAGAGGGGGCTCAAGTCTCTTCCAGAGGGGTCAATTACACATATTTTTTTGCATTCCAGAGGGGTAAAATCCCCCAAAGCAGAGGTCCTCGACAGGGGGGGTTTGGTTTTTTAATGTAATAGCCCAATGGGTGGTCTATACCGTTTATATTGGATAGCTCTGTCAGCTCTGAACTGTTCTTCCTAGAGGTCCAGTATAAAGGGCCATCCTTTGTTGATCCAGTGTTACTACATGCATAGAATAAACTGGAATACCTAGAGTCTAGAGAATCTGTAGTGTTTGCTTTTGTCTGAGGTTCAAATTTGACTTTCGCTACCATTAACCAATAACATTTGTTTAATCTACCCAACTAACCTAATCACAAGTATACTCAGCAAAAGGTAGTGAAAGTCAAGTCTGAACCTTTCTATTGTCAAACTGGAAGCACTCTTCCCTCATGGCAGAGGGAATCAAATTCTAATCAGACAACTGCATATGTGGAACTGGACCTTGTCACGGAGGTACTAACCACTGTATGACCATTCACTGACTAGCACCCTAGAGTAAGGCACAAAATGCAGGATGGTAGACAGTTCTGTTTTTTTTTTGCATCTTACAGGAATGTGAGGAAGATGGCCAGGATGAAATAAGAGCAAGAATAAAATCTCCGTCAATAAAGTTGATTGAGCAGATTGAGATCTTGGGCAATTTAGTAACAGAATTACACAAGGTGAAATTGATACATGATTAGTACTGCGGTCAATATGTTATACATTCGCTAGCATACTCACAAACAGCTATTCATTGCTCATTCATAAAACAGAGGCTGAATTAGGTTAACTAAATAACTGTTCAAATTAGGCTGAGTTGGTGTTTTTTGTTCCTAGGTAAAAGAAAAAATTCACCACCATCACTTGGAAGAAGAAACTAAAGATTTAACAGATCCAAGTATTCTTGGTGAGAACTAAACAAACTTGTTATCACTTCTAAATTGTTCTCCCTGATGGTCCAGTGAGTGGATTGTATTCAGCAACTGGGCACAACATGAATTTGAAATGTGCCTCACAGAGATATACATGCACTAACCACAAACACCCAACTTATTTTTCAGATGAAAAGACAAAAAAGATGGAAGAGCTAGCGTTACATTTCTCAGCAATTGTTGACAAGAAGGAAGAACTCGTCAAAAGACTACAACAACCATTTGTTGGCGACTACATCAATATTGATGCAGACTTTCAGAGGTACAAGAAATCACAACCCAACAACTTCCTGTAAAATGTTTCATGCTATAAAACTATTTAATATTGCTGCCTGGGTTAGCTGTGATGTTTCTAGCCTGCAAGCAGGCTGTTTAGGGTGGGTGAGCCTGCATTATAGGTTGTTCACTACCTGTATGTGAAACAGCAAGTCTTATCCTAACTATAATGCCTCAGAATGAATCTAGGATAATTAAATTTTTCATTTCAGATATGTCGTGGATGCCATACCTTGTCTTGCAAGTGTTCTCAGTAACCTAACAACTTACATGGAAAATTTAACATGGAGTACTCAATTCTCTTTGGAAAATGGTGAAATGGTAAGGAATGAAATGGGTGGTCCATGATCCACTTTTTTAATATAAAACAGAAATTCATGTACACTTTGGTGTACCTATTTTTTATCTGATGTGGAGCCTTTGTTGCCCGTCCGTTTTTCCGCCTGCGTGCCGTTCTCCCGCCTTAATTCCCCCACCTGCAAGTCCTGTAATCCACTTTCAGAGATTCAGTAATCATGAATATTTTCCTTTTCTCACAGGAGAAGATTCTTGCAAGTGTTTCCACAGTTTTGGCACAGATGCAAAGTTACTTTCAAAGCCTGTGTACTTCAAGAAATCTTATGCCAAAAATACTTAACGAAGTTAGAGCAACCAAGAAATGATCCAATTATTACTGTAGTATTTGTATAAATATGTATTTAGTTATATAAGATGAATTTAGAATAAATCATATTATATTTTGGGTTTGACCGACCATTAAGAAATCCAGAGATCCCATTTTTTCCAGCTTTGCTGATCAGAAAACGACGTTCGAATAATGTGGACATCCGAAAAATTAAATTATTCTTTTTATATTTCACACAACGAGACCTACATTCTTCATCATCAAACATTATCTTCTTCATCATCAAACATTATCTTCTCCATCATCATACATTGATTGTGGCTTTTTCATCCAGTTTTCCTTCAAACACTTTTAACTTTGGTTCAACTTCTTCCTGCAAAAACTTTGTAACCTGCGAAGCAAAGGAAAATACTAGAAACAGGCCACCGTTTTTGTGTAAACGCAAGAGTACCAAGACGAATTATCCCGACAAATGGGTGATTGCAGCTATAGACTAAATTTTGATCGAGGCAAGAAGAACGATGTCCAACAGCACAGCTAGAAAAAGTGTCTTAGAATGAGTAAAACTGCAAAGTTTGGTTGCTAGATATGTTGTAAACTGAAGAAAATGTAGCCCTGTGAAGTTCACAATTTGTATTACGCGCGATAAAAATAACCACTTTTTTAAAATGCTCTTTCTAGCTGTGGTAATGGATTTCGTTCTTCTTGTCTAGATCAAAATTCAGAATACCTGCTCCGGTGCTCTGCCAATGAAAGTCTTTGAATCAAGAATTTGATCAAGTTTATCATGAACAACTTTAAAATAATCATCGTTCATTATTCTTTCCACCAAATCGTTATCCCCGCCTTCAGTTTTTACAACAGACGCAGCTTGTTGAGAAAGAACACGCACCTTCTCATGACACTCCTGCAAGGAATAAGACTTCTGAAAGGCGAAGAAATGTTTGAATATATCCATGGAGCAAGTGATTACAGTAATGGCTGAGAACAACCTTCAATAAAGCATGTACATGGTAGGCTTAGCGGTTCCCTTTTTTCTGGTTTTATTTTAAAACCGTTTTTTTCGGTTTAGCTTTTAGCTGCTGACCCTGAAAACATCGATCCTGAAAACATTGACCCTAAAAAACCCCATGCAGCCTGAAAAAACAGTGTCTCCGCTAATATATGATGTTACTCTGAGTGTATATCCACACCAGGCATATTTTTCAAGCCTGCCCGGTGTGGATATATATACACTCAGAGTAACATCACAAGCATCTTATTCACCTGACTACATTACACCACCACAGAAAATATCATGAATATAAAGTTAGTTTTACCTGTCTATCACCTCCATTCTTGACAACTGCCATGATGATGTTTTCTGAAGCCATGAAAGGAAGTTCTTGTTTAATATGTCGTTCAATCACCTAGCATGAATGAAGATTAATGCCGTGAATATTGTCGAACTAAGCTTTCAAGCTAAGACTTTGAAGCTTTCAATCTAAGACTTTGAAGCTTTCAAGCTAAGACTTAACATGAAGGTTTCAAGCTAAGACTTAACATGAAGCTTTCAAGCTAAGACTTAACATGAAGCTTTCAAGCCAAGTTGACAGTCATGCAATGTTGCAGGGACATCTCACATGATAGTGTTGGGAAAGCATTAACAACAGCTAAAGGTGGAGTAATACGGGCAACAAAATTGCTGCAACTTGCGGCGGAATCTGATTTCATGTTAATTGAAAATGTTCACACAAACATTACAAATCACGAGGCAACATGTGTCAACATTTCTACTTAACATGCGTTGAAATCAGATTTTGTTGCTAGTTGCAGCAATTTTGTTGCTCGTATTAGCCCAGCTTAACGAAGGTCACGTGATCCTCGTTTGATCCAGGGCTTATTTGTTCGGTCTTTCTTTCCTTCATTTCGTCTCCGCTCACCTTGGGATAAACAACAAGTCCTTCAGACACATTCTGCAATGTATTGAGGATAATATCAGCAGTAAGAAATGCCTCAGCCAAAGAAATCCTCCTGTTCGCACTGTCATCTAACGTTCTTTCCAGCCACTGTAGCGCAGCAGTCTGTTGAGCATTTGCAACCAGGCTCATCAAATGACGAGCTAAGCTGCAACATCTTTCACTCCGCATTGGATTACGTTTGTACGGCATTGCGCTTGAACCTAGACCAACAGAATTACGCCGAAATTTTACTTGAGATCTGCTGCAATGTGTAGCATATACGACTACATGAAATCTATAAATATTTAACATTACGAGCGAAGCCCTCATCGACCTGTCTGTTAACGTCTCCACCTACAAGTACACTGGCCGTTCTTCATTTTATTTCCAAGTGCCAGAGTGTATGTTCGTTTAACCTCTGTTTTTACATGTCTGAGAAGAAAACAGCTTCCTCCTGTAGTAACACCAGATCAATATCCAATAAGGATGGCTCTTATTGGACATTCAAGGGAGGACAACTATTGAACTATTTTCTTGCTTCAGGAAAGGAATTCTGTGGATGCTTTTCAAGGGTTTCACTTCACCCAATGAGCTGTGACTTTACCTATTTGATTTTTCTCAAAAGGTTCCTCAACTTCCTTCATACTTGCTAGCAATCGAATGTCTGTGCAGATCTTTAAAATGAATACAAATTTTAATATATTTCCCATATTTTACCATATCACAAAGTCAAAGCCTTAAAACCAGAGAGCTCACCTTGTGCACAGATGCCCCTAAACTTCCCAAAACATTCAAAATGTCCAAGTCAACTTTACGACTGTAGGTTTGTCCTGTGATAATATACGCATTCTTAAATCCTGCCATGTTTGTGACTAATTCATCCAACTTTTCAACCTAGTATGATGAAAATGTATGTATGTCTTCAGTGACTTTACCAATCCAGTGTCCTCCTGTAGTAACACTGGATCAATAAGAGATGATCCTTACTGGACCTCTAGAAAGAACAGTTTAGAAGTGATAGAGCTATCCAGTATAAATAAAGTTAGTTTAGTTTAGGTTTCCTCCTGTAGTAACACTGGATCAATAAGAGATGACTCTTACTGGACCTCTAGGGAGAACAGTTTAGAACTGACAGAGCTATCTAGTATAAATAAAGTTAATTTAGGTTTCCTCCTGTAATAACACTGGATCAATAAGAGATAATCCTTACTGGATCTCTAGGGAGAACAGCCTTGAACTGATAGAACTATGAAGTATAAATAAAGTTAGTTTAGTTAATGTAGACACCTTTTCATGATCACCATCAAATAAAGCTAAGAAACTGGCCTGAGTCCCAGTAGTTCCTTTCACACCTCGAAATTTCAAGTTTTCTTTGACATGCATCAAGTTTGCAAGGTCCTGAAGCAGGTCAGATATCCACAGACATGCTCTCTTGCCAACTGTTGTTAACTGTGCTGGCCTGTAAGAATATCATACATGACAAGGAGTATATTACAGTGAGTTGAAACACTGAAGTGTATTAAAAAAACAAGATACTAACTGGAAATGAGTGAAACCAAGCGTTGGAAGAGATTTGTGTTCATTGGCAAACTTTGACAGTCTTTCACAACATCTTGCCAACTAGATTAAAACAATGCTCCATTTAGACTCTTATTATCAGTCAACAAAACAACAACCATTATATGTACAACTTTGAAGTGCAATTATTTTCTTCATTTTAACATACTTTAGGTAGAAGGATATTCAAGCCATCTTTAAGAACTATCAGGTCCTGAAATAGAGACAAAAACATTCACTGCCTTCTTCCATCAAGTCCCCCCCCCCCCCCAACTGCTTTTGCAGCATGTGGGGGCATGTTTTTTCTGGAGGTGGGGGCATGTGGGGGCATGTTTTTTCTGACAGATTTGGTGGCATGTCTGCCTTTGCAGGGGGATATTTTCAGGGGGTGGGGGAGAATATATCTTCAAAGAGTGTGGGGTCATGGGGTGTGGGAAAGAATGTCTATATAGGGTTGTGGGAAAGAATGCTTATCTAGGGTGTGGGGGAGAAACCTAAATAGGGGTGGGAAAGAGCATGTTTTCTGGCCAGTGGTGAGGG